GGCGTTAAAGTGACTGCCTCGAAATCTCAGCGGAATGCAGAATAGAAAACACTCTCGTTTCTTCTTAGTGTCTGGGACCTTCCCGTTTCGCAAGACTGCTTTGCATTTGTGATCTGCTGTTTTCCCCTTCTTTTAACGAATTGCCGGAATCCTCCTTTGGGAAGCATCTGTATAACAAGCAGCTCTTCTCCATTCTCTTCGGCATCCCCGTTAGCTAACAGCGACACCCCGAGGCCAGAGCAGAAACTGCAAAGAATTTATACTTGCATGTGTCCCGTTTTGAGTTGTTCAAGAATAAATGCTATGTTAACCAACAGATTTTGGAAGAGTTGGCATTCTGGTGTTTCTTTTTACTCTTTCAATTGTAACATACCTCTTTCAATGTACTTGCATTATGTTATCACCTCTTTATATCCTATTGTTCAGTGCAATGTGATACCTATCAATTCAGAATGTCTTCACTAGACCTGATCTCATGAAAACAGGAATATAATCTGCATCTTAAAAGTTATAACATACCCTATGGCACATAGGCTAGACTCCAAGAATGTCATGAGAATTAATTATTATTGATACTTGAATCTGAATCTTCTAATAGCAGTAGACAGAATCCTAATGTTGTTGTCCTGCTGTTTTGATTTTTTTTTGTATCTTAGACATTCTTTTTTTCCTTATCACACACATACCACTTTTTCCTGTTTATCTGGGAATATAGCTTCAATATTTGAATTCATAGTTTCAGCTATCCTCAACCACATCCTGGTACAATAAGGAAAATAATAGGTTTTCTGTTTCTTTCTCCTTTACATACGTATTAGTTGTAACATAACAGTTCTAATAACAAGAGGAAGATCGAGGACTTCAATTCACATGAAGGAATATTAATTTATTTTATGTATTAGGAACATGTTCTTGAAATTAGGATTACTTTCCGAGTAGTCAGTAGATTTGCCTGTGATGGTTGCTAACACAACTGTAAATTCAATTTAAATCATATAATGACTGCTAAATTTCTAAGCACCATGGCCTATTAACATTAAAATTAGAGTGTATTTTTCATTAACAAAGGCAACTGGAATATGAATAGATAATTGAAATTAAATAGAGACTCTTTTTACATCTTTTCACCTGCACTGGTTTTCTATAAAATCATTTTCTTGCTTATACAATTAGTATACAGTCACAGTATAAACCCTTTGTTTGTAAATAGGTTTCTTTCATTGTCTCCATTATTATATTGTACATTTGTACCCCGTTTATATTTGTAAAAAACAAAAATTATTTCTTACACGATCAAATGTCATTGATTAGTATGGGATAAAGATTCCCGTTGATTTGCTCAATGAGAACATCCCTTGCTAGACCAACATTTGTAAATCAATCATGTGTACAACTGTTTTGTAATTTACATTAGTCTATGGTTATTCATAGTCCCCAGAATCAAACCTCCATTCAGCACTATTTGTACAGACGCTTCTAGTACCCATGGGAAAATTTGAGAGGGGCAGGTTGTCTTGCATTTGAATTAATTTCAAAAATAATTTTTTCAGATCTATTTTCATCCACATTGGGATTTTGACAAAAAGTAAACATTACACTATAGAATCTCAACAAATCAACAACTGTTAGATACATGCCAATACATTTTTTATTTCCATTCTATTATTTATTATTGTATTTATGTCAAAGATCAAAGAAAAGCACACACACACAAATATACTGGGGCAATGCTGAGTGTGTTGATATTCATGGGAGAGGCTGTTTCCACGCCAGAAGACTGTGCCTACAATTGTTTGAGCCAGTTTTCTGCAGAATTGCACTTTTTCATCTCTTTCTGGTTTGTTCTACTACATCCCCCCCCCCCAAAATCTTCTTTTAACTGAAACCCGTCTTTAGCACAACTTATTTTCTTTTTTAAATGAGTTGGTATATTGGTCAACTGGTCAACCTAGAGAGTGTCAAATTCTAACATGGGGTAGCTTTTTCCAGCTTAAAATATCAACTATCAAGTAGGTTAGGTCAAGAAATAGACAGTGCAGGGACACTGAAATGCTACTGCTATAGGATGTCATACCAGAGCCTTTGGCAACATATACCTCTACCCTACTCATACAAAGCAGAATTAAGTGGAGATTATCTTGAATTTGTTTCTCACTCCAACTGAGTTGTTTATTCAATTCTTGTATTCCATCTTCCAGATTATTTTTGCACTTTTCTATCTAAGCAAAGTAATTGGAAGTATCCCAGAAAAAAGTAATCTCTTATATATCTGTAGTCTGTGGGGCAGAAATTTTCCTTCCCTTCCTTCCACTGCTCCCAGGTGTCTTGGCTCCTTACTTCACATGTTTTTAAAGTAGTTTAGAGTTCCCACTTCCATCCTTTCAGCTAAAATTCTTTCTCAAACTCAATCTTTTGAACAAACTGGACAACCATTAAATGGCAGCCAAAAGATACAAGACCTTTCTTTGCTGCCATGCCTCATAGATTAAATAGTTGATTCAGGTCTCAGAAATATACACATATTTTATATTATTTCTTCCTCCGTGTATGAGGTGTTGGATGATTGCATGCAATGTGACATCTGTGTCTCTCTCTCTGAGAGATTAAGGAAAAGTGGACTGCAGACATTATTCTGAGAGGTCTTATAATAACTTCCTGCAACCCCACTGAGCATCAGACCTGGATANATGTTCAGTTCCGATTTAAAGTGACAGCATTTGTTTTTCTCCTTTCTGAATCTCCTGGCAGAAAAGTGAGTTTGTTTCCTTTTTTCTTTCTCTTTCTTTATCCCTTCCCTCCTTCTCTCCCTCTCACTTTTAAAAGCTTTTTTCCCCCTTGTCTGATCTGGCAGGGAAAAAACTTTTTAAACTTTTTAATAAAGCTTCTCATGAAGCTTTTGATGGGAGAACAGCTGTTCCACTGGTAGATTGTTCTCACTGTCAGAAAATTTCTCCTTATTTCTAGGTTGAATATCTCCTTGATCAATTTCCATCCATTGTTATTTGTCTGACCTTCAGGTGGTTTGGAAAATAGGTTGACCCCCTCCTGTCTGTGGCACCCCTCCCAGGGTTACATTGTATGTAATGAATTAATACACTTCCACAGAAATACACAATACTAGGGATGAAAGCTTTCTTGAAAATATTTGGGTAAATATTAGAGAGGAAAAATGACTTTGCTATAGATGTGTACTATGGTCCACCCAACCAACCAGAGGAAATAGCTGAACTCTTCCCTAATCAGTTAGCTGAGGTCTGCAGGAAATACACCTCAATAGTAATGTTAGTAAAGGGAGAATTTAACCTGACATCAACTGGGAAACAAACACTGCAGGGAGTGGGAGATCAAGCACATTCTTGACAACTTTGTTATACAAAAGGTAGATGAGAGAATTAGAGGGACAGCTATATACTAATAATATACTAATAGGGACAAAACGATTGAGGAGTAGAAGTTATAGGAACTTTGTAGGACAGTGACCAAGTTATATTTGAATCCATGATAATGCAACCACAGTAAATGAACCAAATCACATTAATGTTGTAGAATTTAAGAAAACTGACTTCAACACACTAACAGACAGGAAGGATTCCATGAATGGAAATTCTAAAAGTAAAAATAGCTCAAGGTGCTTGGGAAATGTGGAAAAATGAGATATTGAAGGCCCAAACAAAAACAATATCACAGAGAAAGAAAAACAAAAGACACCAGAAGAGACTAGCACAGTTACACAGAGTTCTCTAACAAATTGAGGGACATAAAGGTCAAAAATAAAAATTGGAAAGAGGGACACATAACTAAAACAGAATACCAGCAAATATCCCAAATCTGCAAGGAGGGAGTCAGGAAAGCTAAGAGTAAGAATAAGATGAAACTGGAAACTAATGCAAAAAAAATAATTCAATATGTAAAAAAACAAGTAGAAAGTGAAGGAAATTTTTGGTCTACTAATGGAAGTAGAGGGCAGGAAGATAACAGAGAGCAGGAAGAAAGCAATAAGGAGCTGCTCAATTCCTTCTTCACATCAGTTTTACACACATGGAAGAGAGAAAAAACCCAAACTATAAAAACAGCCACAAGATAGAACAGGTATACAAAATAGACAAGGAATTAATAAGAGAATACACATCTATCTATTTACAAATTGAGGGGTCCTTGGTGCTCTCTGAGCTTGCTTGTTTTCTGGCAGACATTTCATTACCGTAACTAGGTAATATCATCACTGCTACCAGAGCACCAAAGAACCTTCATTTCAACCCTGGGCTACAAATACTCTTCTTTATTAGTCTACAAATTACCTGGACCAGATGATTTCAGTGCCAAGGATTGTAGCCTTCAATTGGTCAAACTGATACATCATAGGGCAACAATTTTTGAATCAGTGTACTGTCAATGGGCTAATTTACAGAATTTGTACAAAACCCTGTACTCATGATTCCTATGAGATTGAAAGTTGGCAAAGTTGTGGCTATATAAGCGCGAGTCATGTGATTGTTATATCCCATGATTCCTGCCAACTTCTTATAATAGGTTTATTTAACTAAATTAGCTTAAAAGGTCCAATTTATAATTTTTATGCTATTTTAGCAATACCTACTTATATATCTGTACATCAATATTTTCCTTTTTTCTCCCTTTTTACAATGATGATCATAATGTTTGTTCCATATTTTCTACCACCTATTATTTTCTAATAGCAACAATCTAACATGATTTTGAATTTCAGTTTATACATTATTTTTAAAAGTTTGTCATATTACACAGAGTTCAATTAAATCTTATAAAATAGTTTGTACAGGAGTGTGTTTGTTTCCTAAGGAGCATAATTATGGGAAGAGCAATAAAAAATAATATTACCTTTTCACTATTTTCTATCTTAGGATGCAAACTGCTTCCTCCATTGCTTGAAAGAGGCACCTCACTTTTTTCACCACAAAGCACATTCTCTGCAATATGAATGTTTGGTGCCAGGAAGGTAAATTCATTCTTTCTAGATTCTGAGGAGAGGCAAAGCTGGTAGGAATAAGGCAGAGTCCCATCCTGAAAA